TATATATATGTATATATATCGTCGAATAAAGATACTAACTTTATAGCTTGCCGATGAATATTTACGGCACTAATTATTCCTTTAAGTATTAAAATTATTTTTTTTGATTGAATATTTCCTAATGTATTGATAGATATTGCATGTTTAATACGATGACTGCAATTAATATACTTATCAAACTGTATCTTTTTTCTGCCTTCGTAACATAAACGCTAGATTTATTCAAGATAACAATAGAATTTTGTTTAAAATTCGAAACTTCGTAATTATTTCTAAATTTGTTTCTTACCTGGAAATTTTAAACATACCACATGTATATTGAAAATACGCAATAAGCATTGCTCCTATTGCTACCATTACAATTGTTCCGATGCATGCCGCTACACAGATGTGAATCAGAATCAAATAAAAATATTTGTCTTGATCGATAAAGTATTCCATCATAATCGGCAGGCGGCGTGATTGAGTTACGTTTTTCGATAACATATTAGAGCAGATATTCGACCAAAATATAGCGACTATAATAGCGAATATGCTGCAAACGCCTAGTACTAAAAGAATGTTTAAATGGATTTAATATGGAATTGTCATATTAATCTTTCTTGCAAAATTTTTTAATTGCTTTGGTTGTTATATCACGCATACACACATAATATTTATACAATTAAATTTAATGTATAAATTTCTAACGCAATTATAATCTGTTTCAATCACATAAGTTATAACTGTTGTAATTTTATAATTTTTTTTTATTTGATATTTTTGGTATATTATATTCAATATTGATCTTCATATATTTGCGTGTATGACAAATGTTTTAATAAACTCTTGTGATGCATTACACAAACATAGAGCTCTGTTACACGGCACCCTTAATCGGGTTTAATAACATCCGTAGTTGTGAAACTGACCAATCACAGCTATTCCTCTGAAGAATGGAATGACTGTGATTGGCCAGTTTTTGAACTACGAATGTTATTAAACCCGATTAGGGGTGACGTGTAAACGTAGTCATAAATATGTAGAGAAATTGTTATAATCAATATTTTTCCATTGAAACTTTTATAATTTATGTGTCAAATAAAAAAATGTAGGTACATGTAAAAATGTAAAAATATTATCTTACTTGTAAATGCAGTTGTGTAACGTTTTGCATTGCAATTATATTCTTTCATAATAGCGATTTCATTTTCATCTTTTAATTCGTTACATATATTCTGAAGTTGCATCAATAAATCTTTCACCTGCCATTTCAATAACTTTATGTATATGATTTTCGGTATATGTATCGGGGTGTGTGTATGTGCGCGCGAGTGTGTATATACATAATATTAAAAAAAATTTTTTTTTTATTTTATTCAACAAGAATGGTCATCCCATTACACGATCAAGCTACTCTCAACTTATGAGCTATCAGTTCTCATAAATTTCAAATTCTATAAGCTATCAACTTACAGCTTCGATATTGAGATAAAATAAATTGTATTTTATTGTGAAAGTACTACAAAAAGATATGGAAGACAAAATCTTGACAACAAAGTCCAGCGTACATCTTGATGTAATGAATGTTGTAAACTGTAAGTAATAATTTTATTAAAAATTTGCATTAAGAATCTACTTTTTTAAAGTTTTTTGTGAAACCAATCATATATTATATTTTTATTTAAAATCATAGTGATATCCAGAAAATTTAATCTATTGTTTGTTCCTATTTCCAATGTGAATCGTAACTTAGAAATAAATAAGTTAAAAATATTCAATGTATAATCGATCAAAGAGAACGAAACAACAAGCAATATCATCCACATATCCAAAGTAAAAAGGAAGGAAGGGGGGGAGGTGATCTTAATGTCTCAAGTGCATTTTTCTCTCAATCTTGCAGTACAATGCCCGCAACGATGGAAGACAGAGGGGAGCCCATGGATGTACCAAAAGTTTGTTGGTAAATAACATCATTAAATGTAAAGAAAGTTGAATTTAAAATAAATTTAACTGCTAGGAAAAATTTTGAGATCTTACAATTATTGAAAATATAATTCCATTTATCCAAAACACTATCCATCGTCATTTCAATAGATATATTTGTAAAAAGAAAAATGACGTCTAATGAAATTAGACTAAAGTTACTATTAATATAAATCTCTCCAAAAGTTCTTTTACCAATTTGAAGCTATTCAAAACATTATTATGAGCTATTGGAAAACTTTTAAACATAATCTGATGTAAGTAAGAAGCTAAGTGATAAACTTTAATTGTTTTTCCTCACCTCTTCGTACGATACATTTGTAAAGTCCTTTATTGTTTCAATTTAATTTTTATTTATATTTGTAATTATATATGTAATATAAGACTGCTTTTATGCATGCTTTTAATTTCTTATATATTAATAATATCATTATATTAGAGCTTACCTGAAATATAAGACTTGTCGTTAAAATAGTAGACAAGAAAATGAATTGAAGTCGAGTGAGGTTTGATTGTTTATAAGGCCATAGGCCAATAGTGAGCAGAAGAATCCTATTCAGATTAAAATACTGAGTCTCGAAACGGATCATTTTCTTTCGACGTCTGGAATGCATATGATAGTGAAGTAACGAAAGTACACACATCCCCTTCTTTTTCCATTGATCGACAAGTTATTTTATTCCTTTTTTCTTCTGGTGTAAATTTTAACACAAATTGCATGTAATTTCGTGTAATTCACAAAGCACCGATACAACTATAGAACGCGGCAAAAGTAGAATATACACAGTTTAACAATGTTTCTCGCAATGAAGTCCCTAATCATGCGATCGATATTTGATAGCGGAGTAATTTCAGGGTGTTATTTAAGAAAATAGGAGAAAATATATTTATAAAGAGAATTTCTTGCGCGAAAGTCGCGCATGCGTATTCGCAACTTCATTTGTATCGTAGATTTACACCTTTCATTCTATTGTCCGCGCTCATGACGTACGTTTGGTCTTCGAGACGAATGTCTTTCACTCTTGAGAGCATCGGGTCTTTATGGTAAAGCTCCTACTATTTAAACTAGTAATCAGATCTTTGTGCATGATATATCTGTTAAACTTTTAATTAATAATTGACGCAATGAAAGATATCATTCTAAAAGCTAAATATCGATATGTTACAATTACCAATTATTACTTTGTATGTTTACATCATTCTTTATTACTTACGTCACTTTCATCAACAAAAGACTTAAGTTCAAAAATTCAGAGATAGCATGTCTTTGAATAAATTATTCACGATAGCATGTCTTCGAATAAATTATACATATGAAAATGATATTTGACGTGCTTCATTATACAAATTGCATATACAAATAAAAATAAAATAAAAAAATATTCCAAATAAAAAAATTTGTTTAGAAAAGTTTGAAATAATATCTATTATTATAATAGTCACGTAATGGCTGCGTTCAGTATACAAAAGATGCCACGAGACATCCGTCTCGCCCTGTAGTTAAGACTCTTCTTCTTTTTCTTAATTGTACGACCCAGACACTGAATACGAAACGCAAATAATACCGGCAATATCGGCACCAATTCCTCTCACATGCACATGCTCAGTCAATCAGTTCCTGATATGCATGCAATATGGGCTTACGCATGCGTGAACGCAAGAGTCAGCCAATCACAGACGTAGTCGCTGCGCGCGCAGGTAATGAAATGTGTGCGTACGTCGGTTTTCACTAATGTCCGATAAGATTGATCCAAGAGGGTTCCATTAATATTCTATGGAATATTTTGTGTATGTTCCATACATATATCAAAATGTACACTGAATATTCCTTATTGCTCATACAAGTAGTGTTCATAGAATATTCTGAATATTTCACGATTATTTGAACGTTCTGTGAACATTTATCTACTATTTCGGTATATACGGAACTTTTGGAATACGAATGGAATATTTCAGGAATATCTAGCGTTTACTGGGTTAAAACATCCTACAAATATCCTGAACCATCCTGGACATATTCAGGATGATCCTGAGGACGTTTTGTGCTGTCTGGGTAAGTTCGTAGAAAATGTTTATTACAATTACAGAACACACTTATTCGTTATTTAATACACGGTCCCTTTTAAAATAGTCCCTTCCTAAAGCAATGCACTTCGTGCGATGTTTTTTCTATTACAGGAAGCAGTCTTCAAAATCATTCTCCGTGAGGCTGTTTAGAACATGCCTCAAATATTCCACCTTCGCTCGTAACCCTCAATGACGATCGTTCATGTCTTCCTTGATCTTGGAGAATAGAAAAAAATCGGAGGAAGTCAGATCGGGCCTCCTTGACTTTTTTCTATTCCCCAAAATCAAGAAAGACATGAAGGATCGTCATTGAGGGTCACGAGCGGAGATGGAATGGATGATGCGTGCTCTAAACAGTTTCACGGATAATGATTTTCAAGACTGCTTCCTGCAATGGAAAAAACGTTGAACCGATTCGTTATCTGATATACAGTCCTTTTCAAAATAGTTCCTTTCTAAAGCAATGCACTTGGTCCAACATTTTTTTCCATTAAAGGATGATTGGTATTGAATTTGGTGAAATCATTGAAAGAGTTCATTTTTTATAAAATTTTGAATTTTTTGGAAAATGTCTATATCTACACGCTTTAACTTTCGCAAATTTTGAGATATCTTTCTCTATGAGGAAGCCAAAATTAAAAAACCCGGTTGCTTTAAGGAGCTTCAGCTTTGTGAGCAAAATAAAATGATGAGGAAGAAATGTGCAAATTTCTAATTTGTATAATTTTCAGCTTGTTATATTGTGTAATTGATTGCACATTTAAACCATTTCTACAATTTTATTTGATAAAAGTATACTTGTTACTATAGAAATATACGGTCTTTTTGAAAAAAGAATAAGCCTTTTTTTAGGTAATAACATTTTGATATTTTAATTATTATAAGTGTTAATTTTTCTTTATTTTTAATCTTTTAGATGATAGATTTAAGTTAACCACCATTAAATGTAGATCGCAATCCAATTGGCTATGTAGTTATGTAATTATTATTTTTAATTATTCTCCAAAAACAAATCAAAATTTAATGTGAAGGAATTGTCTTTATTATAGATATAAAAACACACACAGTTTTTGTATCTATAATATTGTATTTATAATTTTATTTGTAATTTTTAATAATTTGTCATTTGTAGTTTTCAAAAATGTGCTTTAATTATTATTTTAATATAATAAGAAAACTAAAATTATTTTTTATTTATTTTTTTAAACGTTATTTTAAAAAATCAATGAGATTTTTGCGATTAATGTAATACCAAGTACAACATAATTCAGATAATTTTCAATTAGATTAGTTGAATCATATCGTGTTTGATGTAATTTGCCGCAAAGGTTCCACTAATTCATTAAAATTAATTTCGGAAAAGATAAACTAAAAATATAAGACCTTTTTTTTTATTATATTAAAAAAAACATAACAAAAAATAATGTTATATTTTTAAAAATAAAAAAAAACCAAATTTGTTTTCTTTTAATAAAAAAAGCATGTTTTTTTAACATGCCTTTTATTAAAAAAACATGCTTTGTTTTTATTCGAAAAAAAAAAATTTTTTTACATCTCTATTTAATACCGAACATTACAAATACGTATGTATCACAAATGTTTTGATAGACGTGCATAATTGATATATCATATATGTATATGTGAAATATATAGAATGACTGTTGCATATTGTACCTGAATCGATTTTCTGCTGAAACTTGAACAGCTTTTGCAAATTAAAAAAGAAATGTGACCGTATTTGATAATCTAAAAAAATCTTACTCGTAAATGCAGCGGTACATCGTTTGGCACTGTATCCATATGCGTTTATGATAGCAAATTCATTTTTGTCTTTCACCTCATTATATATATGCTGTAGCTGCTCCAGTAAATCTTTCATCTGTTTTTTTAAATAATTTTATATACCATTTTTATATACATACGTATAACAGTGACATGTAGAAAAAAATGTTTGTACAAAAATTTATTTGACTAAAATATTTTTGTCTCTCTCCCATTTGATGTACGTGTTCGTGTGTGTGTGTGTGTGTGTGTGTGTGTGTGTGTGTGTAAACTTTCAACTTTGTAAGTCATTTACTTACAGCTTCGATATTGACACAAAACATATTATATATTATCACAATGAAAGCGAAGATAGATGCGGAAGATAAAACTTTGACAACTAAATCCGGAGTACATTTTTGTGAAATAAATGGTGTACACTGTAAATAGTAATTTTACTTACAAATTTGTATTAAAAAATTATTTTTTTGAAGTCATAAGCGCGCGCGCACACATACATAATATTTTTATTATATGTTGTTGAACCTATTTTAAATAACTTTTATAATATTATATTTGCCAGAAAATTCTATTTATAAAAACAAATTATATGTAAATAAATAATTAAAATGTCAATATAGATAAAATATATATATATATATTGTTACGTCCGCGAATCAATAAAATCGAGTCATATCACTCCCAGTTAGTTAAAACCCAGTTATTGTCTAAGAGTTATTTTATCGATTTTATCGCGCTCGAACGACTCGGCAGCTGACTCAATTCTAATATGTCTACCATTGTTGATCAAAACACACTCGCACGTCGTCTCAGAAATCATTTTCATTTTTACCGCAACGAACGGCATAACATCGTGGCATGGAAACATAATACAGGATCGTAACAATATATATATATATATATTAATTAACAATATATAGGGTGTCCCCAATTTAAATGTCAAAACTTTAGGAGCGTGTAGGGGACCGATAAACTAAGACAAAAAGTCCTTTAGAGATTTGCTTTGTTTTGAAGAAAATCGCAAAAAATGAAACAAATTTTAACAATGTTTCTCGCAATAAAGTCCCCAATTATGCGATCGATTTAATAGCGGAGTAATTTCGGCGAGTGTTTATTATAAGAAAAAAGGAGGGAAAATTACTCAAGAGAATAACTCGCGCGCAAGTCGCGCATGCGGATTCGCCGCTTTTTTTTGTACCGCAAATTTACACGTTTCATTCAATTGTTCGCGCTCTTAACGTATGTTTGGTCTTCGAGACGAATGTCATTCACTCTTGAGAGCATTGGGCCTTTTTAGTAAAGCTCATATTATTAATAATATCATTATATTAGATTTTACCTGAAATATAAGACTTGTAGTTAAAATAGTAGACAAAAAAATAAATTGAAGACGAGTGAAGTTCGATTGTTGATAGGGCCATAGGCCAACAGCGAGCAGAAGAATCCTATTCAGATTAAAATACTGAGTCTCGAGACGGATCATTTTCTTGCGACGTCTGGGACGCATATGATAATAACGAAAGTACACACATCCCCTTCTTTTTCCATTGATCGACCAGGTATTTTATTCCTTTTCTCTTCTGGTGTAAATTTTAACACAAATTGCATATAATTTCGTGTAAGGCAAGCCAACACGACTATACGACGCGGTAAAAGTAAAATATCCATAATTTAACAATGTTTCTCGCAATAAAGTCCCCAATTATGCGATCGATTTGATAGCGGAGTAATTTCGGCGAGTGTTTATTATAAGAAAAAAAGAGGGAAAATTACTCAAGAGAATAACTCGCGCGCAAGTCACGCATGCGTATTCGCCGCTTTTTTTGTACCGCAAATTTACACGTTTCATTCAATTGTTGGCGCTCTTAACGTACGTTTGGTCTTCGAGACGAATGTCATTCACTCTTGAGAGCATTGGGCCTTTTTAGTAAAGCTCATATACTATTTAAACTAGTGATCAGATCATTGTGCATCGTATATGTGTTAAATTTTTAATTAGCAGTCTGCGCAATGAAAGTTATCATTTTAAAAACTAAATATCGACATATTACAATTACCAACTGTCACTTTATATGTTTACATAAATTTTCATTACTTACGTCATTTTGATCAACAAAAAGATTAAACTTAAAAATTCAAAGACGCTAGCACTAAGAATAAACTAGACATATGAAAATAATATTTGACGTGCATTAATATAAAAAAAAAAAATTGCATATACAAAAAATCGAAATGCTTAAAAACGATGTAACGTTAATCAACTCTGTTATTTGATATACAATAGCATATATAATAGCTAATTTTATGTGTCATCTTTAAGAATAATCGTATCTTTTAGCTTTACACATACTTAAGACATTTAAATTATCAAGTTATATTTAAAGGTAATATGATTCTTATTAAAGACAATTTTATTTCTCAATTTTTGATCTTTTATTTACATATATGCCATTCATTATAAAAAATTTATGCTATAAAAAAGGTTTGGCAAACATTAACAATATATAAATTATTCATTAAAAGTAACGTGATAATACATATATCACAAAAGTTAAAATAAAACTTGAGAATGATGTAAAAGTAAATAAATTTGTATCAGTGTTTTATATTTAATTCGAAATGTATGATATATTAAAAATCTATGTAATATCGTTAATTAAATATATTTATATTTTTGGAGATCTCTTATGAGAGATTATTTAAAATCATTAGGACTATTTAAGATTATTTAAGACCAAATTATGAGATTAATAATAAACCACGTTTGACTTTTAAATGTAATATAATTGTAATATTCAGGTTTAGTTAACTAAATTTTTTCTAGATTTCAAATTTCTTGCTATTATTTTTCTTCTTGCCTTATTATTGCGTTGAATATATGACAGTAAAATATGAAACCGATGTTTTCACAAGCTGTAACATTTATTTGTAATATGTTGTCTCGTATATGTATATATTGATAATATATTTATTATATTTACCGTGACAAAACACTTCAACGATCCGACAAATAGTCCACCGATACTTACAGTAAATTCTTTGGTTCCTTTTTGCAGTAGAAATAATATCAGTTTTTGTATATGTAACGGAGCTTCGTGCCACTGAACGTCATACCTACGCAATATATAGATAGATCGCATATTTCTACGCGAAAACATTGACCTCTCTACATTTAATAAAACATTTTTTAAGATGCGAGATTTCATACAATTTGTGTAAATCAATGTTTCTTACACGGTAGCAAAGAAGTCATTATTGTGATCTGTTAAATCCTGCGCAACATAATTGGCTATAAACATGTATAAGATACAAAAAGTTACAAATATAAGAGGAAATAAAATTCCCTTGACATCATCTCCGTATGATGCGATCTGAAAAATCTAAAATACAGGGTCGTGTTTGTAATGAATTTGCATGTGCATTTCTTACGTTCTCTAAATATTATTCACGATAATGCTTATTAATTGGCGAACGATTACGATTGATCTATATAAAGTTAAAAATCGTATATTTTACAAAATTAAAGATAACAGCAAGAAAAAGAGAGAGAGAGAAAAGAGACAGAGGAAGAGAGCGAGAGAGAAAAAGAGCAAAAATACACTTTTTCTGAATATAAAGTACACACAAAATAACATGAAATATATTATTAAGTATATTAAGTATTGTTTCTGAAAATAGTGAATATAAAGATCTAATACGAAACTTACTCGAAAGAGATTAAAACTCAAAGAGACCACCCCGACTATTATTAAAGAGAACAACATTTTCTCAATTTTGGATGCCATAAGTTCGGATAATCTTTAAAAACAAGAAAACATTATTAAAAGATATTATATATTATACATTCGTATATAAATATATATCATCGAATAGAGATACTAACTTCATAGCTTGCCGATGAATATTTACAGCGCTAATTATTCCTTTCAGTATCAAATTCAATTTTTTTGATTCAATATTTTCTAGTATATTAATAGGTATTGCACGTTTAATACGATGACTGTAATTAATACATTTATCAAACTATATATATTTTTTCTGCCTTCGTAACATAAACACTAGATTTGTTCAAGATAACAATAGAATTTTATTAAAACTTAAAACTCCGTAATTATTTCTATGTTTGTTTCTTACCTGGAAATTTTAAACATACCACAGGTATGTTGAAAATACGCAATAAGCATTGCTCCTATTGCTACCATTGTAGTTATTCCGATGCTTACCGCTACACTGATATGAATCAGAATCAAATAGAAGTGCTTTTCTTGATCGATAAAGTATTCCACCGTAATCGGCAGATGACGTAATTGAGTTACGTTTATCGATAATATAATAAAGCAAATATTCGACCAAAATATAGCGACTATACTAACGGATACGCTGCAAACGCCTAATACTAAAAAAATTTAAGTATAGAATTGTCCTATCAATTTTTCTCGCGGAAGTTTTTTAATTAGTTTAGACATTGTTTCATACATACACACATAATGTTTATACAATTAATGTATAAATGTCTAACGTAATCAAAATCTATTTCAATCACATAAGTTATCACTGTTTTAACTTTAAAACTTTTTCTCTGCCTGATATTTTTGGTATATTATATTTGGTATTGATCTTCATAAATTTGTGTATATGACAAATGTTTTAATAAACTCTTTAATGTATTACAAAATTACACAAACATAAATATGCAGAGAAATTGTTATAATCTATTGGAATCAATATTTTTCCATTGAAACTTTTATAACTCATGTTATATGTTACATATTACTATAACTCAAATAAAAATTGTGCAAATTAGAAACTTTTACATTGTTTCCTCATTATTGTATTTTACTCAAAAAGCTTAAGCAAGCAGATTTTCGCAATTTTGGTTTCCTTATAGAGGAAGCCGATATTCCGAAATTTGCGAAAGTTAGAGGGTATACAGACATTTCTCAAAAAATTCAAAATTTTATAGAAAGTGAACCCTTATGTAAAAAAATTTCACCTGATATCTCAAAATTTGCGAAAGAGCGTGTACAGATATTTCTCAAAAAATTCAAAATTTTATAAAAAATGAACTCTTTCACCGATCGTCACCAAATTTAATACTAACTATCCTTTATATATAATATTCTCTTCATGTAAAAAAATTTAATCCAATATCTCAAAATTTACGAAAGTTAGAGCGTATACAGCTATTTCTCCAAAAATTCAAAATTTTATAAAAAATGAATTTTTTCATCGATTCTCACCAAATTCAATACCAACCATCCTTGAATGATACTCTATCCATGTAAAAAAATTAAGCCCAATATCTCAAAAATTGCGGAAATTCGAGATTATACAATATATTGCGTACATACATATATACGTATATACATACATACATACAGACATTTTTTAGGAACATGATTTTTCGGAACATTCTAAACACAGTGACATAGAAAACTCGAAAAAAAATTTTGTTACAAAAACAAAGCTTGCTCTATGAGGAAGCAAAAAATGTAGATGCATGTAAAAATCTAAAAATCTTATCTTACTTGTTAATGCAGTTGTGTAACGTTTTGCGTTGCAACTATATTTTTTCATAATAGCAATTTCATTTTTATCTTTTAATTCGTTACAGACATTCTGAAGTTTCATCAATAAATTCTTCACCTGTCATTTCAGTAACTGTGTAAATAGTTTTTGTGCGTGTGTATATATGGTAGTGTGTATACATGCGCACACATATGTGTATATACATAACATTAAAATTTTTTTTTTATTTTATTCAACAAAAATAGTCATCCCATCACGCGATCAACTTGTGAGCTATCAGTTCTCATAAATTACAAATGCTATAAGTTATCAACTTACAGCTTTGATGTTGAGATAAAATAAGTTGCATTTTATCGCAAAAATACTAAAAAAACATATGGAAGACAGAATCTTAATAACAAAATCCGGCGTACATCTTGATGTAACGAATGTTGTAAACTGCAAGTAATAATCTTATTAAAAATTTGCATTAAGAACTTATCTTTTTAAAGCAATAAATAAATTATAAATTCTATATCATCAGATGATTTTTTGTATTTAACCTGTATTTAAAATGATTGAATTAAGATGCGATACATAATTACAAGAGAGAGAGAGAGAGAGAGAGAGAGAGAGGGAGAGAAAGAGAAAGAGATTATATATACTATTATAATACAGCTGCTGAAATAACTTTATTATAGTCTAAATTAAGATATTTTCAAGTCGTGCATGATATAGTAAATAGTTATTATGCGATAGTATATTAAAATATAATAAAAAGGAAAATATATAAATATGAAACATTGTCTTACCTGAAATATAATACTCATCATCAGAACACTAGACAAGAAAATAAACTGAAATCGAGTTAGGTTCGATTGTTGCAAAGGCCATAAGCCAATAATGAGTAATAGAAATCTATTGAGTTTAAACTGCTGAGTCTCGAGAGAGATCATCTCTTTACGATGTCCGGAGCACAAATGACTGCGAAAAAGTCGGCGAGAGTATACGCTTATCCCCTCCTTTTTTATTGATCGTCTGAATATTCTCTCTCTTGTAGCGTGAATTTTAGCTCTATTACTGTAATTTAGTGTAATGCAAAACGACATCACAAACACACATACACACACATACAAAAGCTATTGTAAGATCATAAACATACTATAATTTCACATCATTTGAAAGAAAGTGAGGTCTGTTAATAACCAATCGATTGAATGTCGAGAAAAATTGAATTGTCTATTTTTTATGTAAATAAGCAAAAATTATTTATGGGTGAGAGCTATTCTTGACTAGAGCCACGCAGGCGCATTTTTTCCTTTTCAACATCGCAACTTTATTCTGTTGCGTGCTTCTGCAAGATACATTTCGTCTTTGAGAGAAGTATCTTCCAGCTCTTTAAATATTATAATAGATATATAAAATTTCTTGCAACATGTCTATTTTTAATATGTTACGTTAGATATTTATTTCATATTCTAACGTGCTATTTATTTGTTATTACGATACGCTTTAACAAATGAGGACACAACACAAACAATTCATCAACACTCACAATTATTTTTTTTTACAATAGAAACATTATTAATTTCTGCATATATGTCTGAAAGCTATATTATTGTTGTACCTACAAAAAATTTTGTGCATTTGTTGAATCAGTAAGGTAAACGTCCCAATAGCCGGACATGTAACGATACTAGTACGATTTTGCTCAATTTTTATAAGTACTCACGGTTTTTGATGATTTAATTATGTAACCAATTGAAAGGTAAAATATAAAAGCTTATTATTGACGCATAAAAGACATGAAAAGTGTTAAAATTATTTTAATAGTAATAAAAATTTTAAAGCATGCAAATGAACTAATATCCGAACACATCGAAAATACTTGTCCCAATTACTAAACTTTTTTATATCCTTAAATTAAAGATTTTGCAATAAAATTTTGATATTATAATAAATAATTCATTTGAGATTAATAATGATAAATTTTCATGTTAATGTCCAGATATAGGGACATGTCCGGCAATCGGTACATTTACCTTAATTTAGAAAAAATAGAAATATATGTCAATAGTTTTTGATATATGTTGAATTATTTTACTGATAACACTAAGAATAAGTTATTCCTTTTGATTAGCGTAAAAGTGTTATAATTGATTTGTAGAAAAATACAAATGTATATGCAGGATTATTAAAGATATTATCGTAAGATTAATAATTAGATTAATAATTTATTTTAACTGTTCTCTCCGCAAAATAAAGTTAGCACGATTGATTTTATGGCAAAAAAAATTTAGCGGCTGTTTTTTATGAGAAAAAGAAATTTTATATTTTTTGATGAAATTAGATGAAATTTTCATTTAAAAAAGAGAAATGTACACGTAAAACAATTACTTCAAGAAAGCCTTTTTGCAGTTAAAAAATTAATCGCTGCGTTTTTCCGGCTCGTGCGGGATTTGTGATTTCCTAGTGGGAAAGATACACCAAAGCCTTTTCGTTCCGATGTGATTCCGCGCGATGTAAATAGGTATCCTAGCAATAGGAAGGCGACTCTATCAGGGTCGCATCCCTTACAGCAAGTCTTCGTGCGTGGTATAAGGCGCGTAAGCGACTTGTCCGCATCCATACATCCTTGATCCGGAAATATGCTTCGCGTTTGAGGCAATTACGAGTATTAGCGTGAGTGCCGCGCTGTGGCTTTAATTCCACTCGGCCGTCTATCTCGTTTGAACGCTTTTAAATTTCCTAAATATCATTATAGTGCTTATACGCGACGTTCCAAAAAATAATTTTTCTCGTCGATATTGGCCGTGTTCCGATATTCACTGCCAGTACTGAAAATCTATAGTTTACGTCACATATACTATAGATTTTCAGTACTGGCAGTGAATATCGGAACACGGCCATAATGTAACAGTGCCTTATATGTAACAGTTATGTCTCTTACATGCGAGATAAGCAATAATGTGTCGTATAAATAAATTATTTGTATTTTTTCAAGTGTACTTTAATGTGAAAATAGGTGAAATATTGTACACGCACTGTATGTGTGTGTGCGTGTGTAATTTTATTTTACATAATATGTGCATGAATAATCACAAAATATGTATTGTAATATTGTTGTATTGATGTTGCTACTTCTAATCATTTGGACTAAATTACAATGTTGCATCAGATAAATTTATTAACGTAAATATAATTTAATTTGAGTGAATAAGCCATCGTCTGCGGAATTAATAAGAATATTTATTACACATACTTATATATATTACACATCTACATATAAATTAATAATAAATTATTTTTTCAAGTTAAATTATACATATGAATGTAATAAAGAGTATATAAGAATATATATTTTCTCGACTAGTAAAGAGGAATGACACTTTTAACTTTCACTTGGGGATAATAGCTGTGGCATGAACCTTGTCCAAAAAAGCTGATGCACTATCTACGTCATCTTTACTTATGCCAGGGATGTATAGAAGAACATTTCAATGTTGTTTTTTTAACTTTTCTAGACTCCTTAGATTAGTAAGACAGAAATATCGTAAAAATTTACTAATTCAGAATTTATTTTTAAAAGAAAAAGATATTGTTACCCCAACACATCTTTTAGAAATTCTTTCAAATAATAATAACACAAAACTGTGGGATATAAATTTAATTTCTTCATTTTTCATACATTCTTTACTAAAAAAAAAATTGTTCTACATATTTTAATCTCTCCATTTCTGTAATGTTAGGAATATATAAAATTGATATTAAGATAGGATATACATATAAGAAATATAAATCAATTTTTTTTAACATAAATTATTATTTATCTTTTTAATAAAATCTTTTTATGTTTGACATGTGGATCACATACATAACTTTTATAACACATATATAACTCTAATTGTGCGAACTTTCTGTCTAACTAAAAATATTAACCAAAAACATTATTTTGATATCCGCCCCTGTAAACGGTGACGCCAAAACCAAGATTTCATTACGTCATAGCTCCTATTGTATACATGTCTCTGTCATTTATGTGCAATGTTACGTGTCGTGACGTCGCGAAGAGATGGGATGCTTCATGTACCAGGATCACAGAATTTTCTAGGAGCGCGTTCGATTTCCTACCGCATCCCACATAATAAAAAAACGTCTATTATCTATATAAACATTAAGTAAATTTTAGATGTGTTTGTGCATTGTGACGTAAAAAAATAAATTATAATCTAAAATATATATA